GTGAAGGAGCGCGACGGCCTGCGGACGGAGCTGCACTCCCTGGGGGCGGCGTTCAGGGCGCGGCACGACGCGATGGAGGAGGCGGCGGCAGCGATCGGGGTGGGCGCGGCGGGGCGCGCATTGGGGGGGAACAGGGTTGTGCAGCTCGTCCCGCGTGCGTTGGATTGCAACCAAAAGGGGAGAGCTTTGTTTTGGCAGAAATCATGCTTGTTTTTCGAAGCACAAGCTGGGAGCGACCCGCGTGGGGCTGCTTGTGGCGGCTGTCGGTTGCCGCCCGCAAGTGTGGGAGGAGACGACGCAAGGCGAGGCCCGTGGAATAACGAAGGGCCCCGGCGTGGCTGCGCCCCCGTGGCACCTGCTGCTTCGCTTTCGATCCCCACGAGGCCGTTGCAGGCTCCCGCCAAGAACCCCCATGCACGCACCCACCCACACACCCGCACACGTCAACCCTTGGGCACCCACCCCCAGAGCCTGGGTACTGAGGTGGGCCGCACAGGGAAGGACATGGAGGCGGCGCGGCAGCGCTACGAGGCCGCCATCACAGCAAGGAATTGCACCGGTGCGGACGGATGCGCCCTCGGGCCCATTGCGCCCGGCGCCCCTCTTGCCCCTCGCGCCTCGCGCCCCTCGCCTGCGCCCCTCGCGCCGGGGGGGCCCGCTCGCGCCCCGTGCCTGGTTTTGCCATTCATTTTGGGCCAAGTGCCCCGTCTCGCAATCAACCTGAATCCCAACCTCAACCCCCAGTAAATGGCCCCTCTCAGTTCGCACAAATACCCCAGCCCGTCCCTGCTTGGAAAGCCAGGCCACGGACTCTCTGGCCCCCAATCACAAACCCCCTCCCCCCCCAGGCCTGATGTTGATAGACCGCAGTGACGAGCTGTCGGTGCTGTTTGAGCGCTGCCACGCGCTGGAGGCGCGCCTCAAGGCCGGGGCCGTCGCCATGGGACAGCGCGAGTGCGAGGTGGGGCCCTGAGGTCAAGGTGTGCGTTTTTTTTGGGGGGGGGGGTCTGAGGACGAGCGGAGCAACCTTTGGGCGCCTGCTTCGGTGCTTTCACACACATGGCGCCCGAGCCTCGGCGGAGGCATCACGCCGCCGTCCTCTCGCCAACAAGGTTTGAATTGGGCAGCAAACTGGGATGCATACAGGGCGGTCTGCAAACGCCCTTTCACATCACCCTCAGAACGCCCGACTGGTCAATGCTTCAAAGCCCACACTCCCTCCGTCAACGACACCCGCCCCGCGCCTCGGTCCAGGTCCAAGCTTTGAAGCTGCAGGTGCGTACGCCAGCCGGCTGCTGACCAGTATCGCGGCCGCGGTGCCCACCCCCTCGCGCGCTGTCACATCTTACATCCCTGTGGGCCCGTCGAAGGCGGCTTCGCATGCACCCGTACGTCGCACTGCCATCTCCCTCCCGGTAAGCCCCGCTGAGGGCGGCTCTTGCCGCTGCTGGCTCGCCAGGTGTCTGAGCTGGAGCGGTCTGTCGCGGCCACGCGCAAGTGCCTGCCGGATGTCGACGGCGTTGACGAGGAGGTGGCTGCGCTCAAGGTGGGCGTGGATCTTATGTGGGGGCAGAGCGGGGGTGTGGGCAGGGGTGGGGGGTTGGTAGTGGTGGATTCGGGGCTGTAGTGGGGGAGGTGGCTTGATTGCTGCATGGCAGCGGAAGCGGCGAAAATGGAGACAGGGTTTGCGTGGGCGGTTCCTGGGCGCAAGCAGATGGTACATTCGGAAGTCTTGCCTGGAATTCTGCGAGACGAGCCAGCTGCTTTGTCCCGCGCCTGGCGCGAGCCCTGACCTGCACGGCTGCCCCACCGACCGAAAACCTCCGCGGCTCCCAGGCGGGGCTGCTGCTGTCCCAGCGCGACGCAGAGGCGCTGTCGCTGCGGCTGGAGGACCCCGGGAACGCGGCGCGCTGCCGCATGCTGGGGGGACGCGTGCCGGACAGGGAGGAGCTGGTGGCACGGCTGCAGGTGGGGAGCTGGGTGTGTGATTTGTGTGTGTGTGTGTGTTTGGGTAAGTGTGTGCGCGCGTGTGTGTGTGTGTGTGTGTGTGTGTGTGTGTGTGAGCAAGAGCGAGAGCGAGAGAGGGGACGAGTGAGGGGGGATCAACGCCGTGACACACAGGAGACAAGGCGAGCACGTAATGGGCCGCAACTCACGGATGGCGCTTGACGATGCCCAAGGTATTGTTCTGTTGGCCAACAGTGGGGCAGAGGGCGTGGAGAAGATTACTTCAGATTGGCTTCATGACAAGCACCACGGACCACCAATCCAGTGCCCTCTGGACTCGGAGTCTCCCCTGCCCCACCCCACCGGCGGCTTGGCCCTCATTCACCCCGGCCAGACCCTGGAGGAGCGGCTGGGCATGAAGAAGGAGGAGCTGGTGGAGAAGACCGTCGTGCTGGACGAGGTGAGGCGACGCGGAGATTAGATCAGATCAGATCAGATCAGTTCGCAGAACTGACAAGCATATTGCATGTTATCTATGATGCAGAACATTGTTAGCAGATAAGCTTGGCCACTGCTGCGACAGGGCAGCCTGCGCTGTCACAGACATAGAGCTGTGGCAGCGGCTTGCTTGTCACATGGCAAAGCGGGCGGCCCCGCGGCGGCACAGCGGACCGCCTGCTCCCCGACACCACCTATGGGCCTGGGCAGCACCCCACCTCTGGGTTGCGGGCGTTCTGGTGGCTTCCAGGTTGGCTAGCAAAATCGGCGTCACATGCAAGAGGCAAGCCCATGCCCCCCCCGCAATGAACCTCACCCCGCCAAGGTGTCTGCGCTCACGGAGGAGCTGCGCTGCCGCGCGGCCGACACGCGCGGCGCGCGCTGCGAGGCGTCCCACGCCGCCAACGCATACCAGTCGCGGCTGCGGACGGTGACGGGGCGCATCATGGCCGCCATCAGCGAGCTGTCGCTCTACCAGGTGGGCTGGCATTGGGCTGCACGCACCTGCTGGACCAGACTCCAACCAGCCTGGCCCCCCCTAACACACACACATACCCCCCCCCCAAACACACACACAATCTTTGCAGTCAACGTACCCCCCGTTGCACTCCAACCTCCCCCTCTCCCCCCCCGAATGCCCTCTTGCACCCTGCTCACGCCGCCGCCCGCTTTCCCAGACCGCAAACATTCTCACCCTTGACTTGACCCCCACCCCCCACCAGGCGACCGCCCTGAAGCTGCACAGCGAGCGGGCCGCCCTGCAGCAGCTGGTGGAGGCGGCGCGGCAGCGGCTGGCGGAGGGCCTCGCCCCCACAGAGGTGCGGGGGGGGGGGGAGGAGGGGCTGCCAGGGCTGCGCCATGGCTTGGTGCTTTACAACAATGTGGGGACTGTGATTGTGGGTGCGCACACACCAGCCCGCATTGGCGTGTGCGTGCAATGCGGACAGCCTCGTATCGCACGGCAACGCACGCGCCCACGTCCGCGCCCGCGTCCGCGCCCCCGCCGCAGGACTCGGAGGGCGAGTGGCAGCGGCTGCAGCGGGAGGCCGCGACGGTGGCGGAGCTGCAGCAGCGGCGCGCGGAGGTGCGCCTTTATTCGCGGTGGAGGGCGGCCTGGGCGACGGCGGCTCGCCCTGGCGCACCTGCTGAATGGGCCCCCCCTCCAGCCTGACTCATCCTGTGGATTGCCGAGCCCAAAAAGTCTGCTTGGGGCGCCCTCGCACCGCCCGCCCCAAGCACGCTGCCACCACCTTCTCTGACAGGATGGACAGGCAGCAATACATCGCCCTCCTTCCCCCCCCCCCCAAAAAAAAACAATGCCCGCAGGAGGAGTCGTACCTGGACGCCAAGTGTCAGGTGCTTGAGACCTCTGCGGAGCCGCGGCCCAACGCGTACGTGCCGGACGACCTGGGGATACCCAAGCCCTACGGGGCGTTTGCGCCGTTCAAGCCGAGCGCGCCCGGCGCCACAATGCGCCACACGCGCGCGCCGGTCCCGCGGGAAATCGTCATATGACTGCGCGGCGGGGGGCGTTGGCGTATATTGTGCAATCGTGTGACGCGCGGCTGCGCGGGCTCGCGTAGATGTGTGGGTCCTGCGGGCTCGTGCTGCGCGGTTTTTTTGGCGGCGCCCGCTTGTGCCTAGTGGCCCTTGGAAATGTTGCAGCAGTGAGCGCGTTGCTGGCTAGGTTGAAACGTCAAAGCACTCCCATGCCTGTGCATACAACTGACGATGGGGCCGGAGCCACCGGCCGTGCACCGCGCGCTGCATGACAAGCGGACACCCTGCCCCAGCCAGACCGTGACAGGACGTGTCCGCCCCTCCCTCTGCCGTGCAATGCCCCTCAACCGCTGCGCCGTGCAGCACTCCTGGCATAGATCGCGCTCTTTGTGGTCAATTGTGTTCTTAGAGTTTGCCCCGATGGTTTAGAGGCTCGGAGCAGCTCGGAGCAACGGGCAGGATTGCAATGATGGTCGAGTTGATCGGGGCCCCGCAGCCGGGGGTGCCCGGCAGCAGCAGGCTTAGCCTTCTGCTCAACGCGGAGATATCGGCCGTGATCACGGCCATGCGCGCGAACGCCAAGTGGGCGGTGGTGCCGAACAAGTACAATGTGAGCTCTCATGGCGCGCGTGGAGGCGTCATGATAACTGATTTAAGCTCAAATATTGCATAGGAGAGTGGAGGGGCTGATCACAGGCAACCCGCGGCCTTTGGCTCGCAGGAGGAGGATCACATGGAGCCCGAGCCACACTATGAGGACTTCCGCACTCTCAGGCGCAAAATCTTCGAGTGGCAGGGTGACGGGGCTGCTGCGGGGCTTCGGGCGGTGCGGGGCGCGTCGACGCCGCAGCTGCAGCTGTACAGCACCAGCAGTGCAACTGCGCAGGGCGAGTTCAGGTCGCCATGCCGGGCTGGCGCCGCCCCTATGGCTGGTGCATGTCTTATACCATCGGTGACACTCAATTAGTTCAATACTCAGCAGCAGCGACTCGGGCTTGAATGAGCCGCACCAGCCCCGCACTCTCCTGCCGTGCTGTCTTTTGCCCCCTGACTCTGCTTGACTCACCTTGTGCGCTGCCACCCACATCATCCACGGCGGCCGCTGCGCCCCTTAGACTGGATGTCGGTGCACCCGCTGGAGTACCTGTCCCCGTTTTTGAAGCTTGTGCGGGAGCCGGACGTCAGCGGGCCCATAACAGGCGTCGCGCTGACGGCGCTGTGGCGGCTGCTGTCCAGCGGCGCTGTGGCGGAGACCACGGTCGGCGCGGTGAGGGGCGCACACGCGCGCCGGCGGGCGGTTTTGACGGGCGCGGCGCGATGCTTTGCAGCGCTGGATAGTTGAAACTCCGTGCGCGCGCGGGGCGGTGGAACGGGCTGCGGGGTTGTATCGTCGCGGGGAGCCAACCAGGCAGCGGCGCGGGGGCGGGTGCCTCGCTGCAGCGACAGCGGCGGGGGCACGGCGGGCGGCGGCCGTGGACAGGGCGTGACAGCGGCAGGGCCCGCTTTGAGGCTGGAGCGGGAGGGCCGGCCAGCAGCGGCTGGCGTTGAGCGGCGTGAGGCCGGGGCTGTGCTCGGCGGCGCAGCCGCGGCGGTCGTTCGACCGAGTTGTTGGCGTGCAGCAGGCGCAGGGCAGCGGCCGCAGGCCGAGGCACGCGCACGCAGGCCGCGCCTTACGCAAGCTAGGGCGGTGGCATCCCGACGGCCCGCAAACGCGCATGCTCCTTCCCTCCCCCCCTCGCGCGCGGCTCAGTCTGAGGCCGTCAACGCGATTGTGGAGGACACCACGCAGTGCAAGTTTGAGGCCACCAGCCCCTCCAGTGACGAGGTGGTCCTCTTCAACATACTGCAGGCACGCATGGCTGCCCCCGCCCCTCACCCGGCGGGACAAGGGGCCAGGGACCAGGGGCCTTTTCGTCTGGCACAGGCACCTTACATATGGAGGAGGAGGGCGGCGGCCGTGGGGCGGCGGTCAGCCTTGCAGCCGGCTGGACGGGAGCGCGGTCGCGGCCCGCGGCGCTGGGGGCTGTTCACGCCGTCGATTCGGTGCGGGTACCCTGTGTGGCGGACGGCAGCTGGGAACGCCGCCCCCCCTCCCTCCGGCCGTGCCGCCCGCCGCGCAGGTCCTGCAGGCGGTGGTGAAGTGCCCGGCGGGTGTGGGGCTGTCGGACGACTCGGTCTGCAAGGCATACCAGGTGGGGGCGCGCGCGCGTGAGTATGTGTGTGTGTGTGTGTGTGTGTGTGTGGAGGGGGTGCCCAGCTGGGAAAAAGGGGTGAGGCAGAAGAGCTGCTTTCGACACTCGCGGCCCCGGCGCCCCTATGACTGTGCGATGCGCCCGAGCCGCCGTGGCGTTGGAGTCGCTTCTCTTGGCCCGGCAGCAGCGTGCGTCACGCCAAGGCTTCTGCGATGTCGCCCGCCCCGCCGCCGCTCCCTCAAAACCGCCTTGATTTCTGCCAGGCGGCCTTCATGCTGGGCAACCTGGATGCTGACACGCGCGGCAGCAAGGGGCGGGAGGTGCGGGGCAGCGAGAGGAGGGGGAAAGGGGGGGCCGAGGGCGGGGCAGCAACCGGAGTGGAACGGGGGCGGCTGCTGCGTGGAGTAGTGGCTCGGGCGGCAGCGCTTTGGAGCGGTGTTGGTGGTTGAGGTGTCTGCTGCTGCGGCAGAGGCATCTGGCAATCGACGTCGAGGGGGCTGTCCAGCACAGGCAGCTGCGGTTGTGAGCAGCTGGGGGGCCCGACAGCCGGGACGGGCCAGCGGCGGCGCAAGGCGGGGGCAGTACGCGCGGGATAGCAGGGCTCGCGGCTGGCGGGTGTGGCGCCTGGGGGCCACGCCGGGCGCGTGCCTTTTGCGTCGCGCGGCCGCCGCCGACGCCCTTGTTTGGGCGGACCCCTGTTTGACCTCCGCAGGTGTCAGAGCTGCTGACCCACTACAGCCGTCAGATCATGGGCGAGATCACCACGGTGATCTTCTCGAGGTGCGCATGATCTCAAGATCACCCCTCGGCCCCGCTCGGCACGCGTGCCCAGATGGCACCACGCAACCTCGTTCCTAGATAGCAAGCGGCGGAGGGTGCACGGCTGTTGGGGGTCATGTCTTGAGCTGCGAGTCATGAGACGGGTGCCTGTTTCATGTATTTTGGTGGTCGACGGACGGAATGGAAACCGAGGGGCTCTGCCTCAATCATGGATTTTACAGAGCACTATCAGCCAGTCATTCACCCGCCGCAACCTTGACGCTCGGCCCCCCAAGGCTGGGGGACATCGACCCGACGGATGCGGGCGGCTCCATGGGCGCGGACACCGCAGAGGCGGCCGCCGCTGCCG